CTGGGACCACCTACTCACACTTCACAGTCAATTCAAGGGCCATCTCCTCCTTGAAGACTTAGAGCCTCCCAGGTCCACCCTTCAACCTCTCCTGGCATCGTGCCTGGAGTAAGACTGTGGGTTCGAGTCTCTACTCTGCCACTTACTGGCTCCGTGACCTTGGGTAGCTACTTCTCTACCTCAGTTTCCTCACCTGCAAAACAAGACTAAAAAGAGTCTCTACCTCATAAGGTTATTGTATTAAAAAAACAAAAACAAAAACAAAAACAAAACAAAGACGCCCTGCAAAGTTTCTAGCTGTGATATCTGGCACATAGTAAGTGCTCAGTAAGTGTTAGATATTAAGAATGTTATCACATCTGGGACAGATTTCTCTCCCTGTATATACGTATTTTTTTCTTATCTACTACGCAATGATCTTGAGGACAGTGGAGACCTGGCACGAAGAAGGTGACAAAGAAATGCTCGTGGAATGAACGGTGGATAAATGGGCCAAGTGGCTGGTAGGAATGAAAAAGGCTCCCGAGCCAGGCCTCACGCACTCGGAGGCCCCGTGTCTGTCCAGTCACACCTGCCTTACTTACTATGGCTTCTGGGCTGGATTTCGTTATGAAGTGCCAAGGGGACAGCAGGTCCGAGTGCTTTCCAAACAACGTGGCGAAGGACACACTCTGAAATCTTAGCTTCGCTCCTTCTCCCCGTTCTAGGTCTGTAGCTTCCTCAGCAGAAGGCACTGACTGCCCACATTAGGAAACAACCTTCCTCCCCAGTTTCTGGAAATACCAAACGGTGACAAGGCTGTGACTTCCTCACTCTGCAGGCCTGTTCCCAGCCCAAGCCTGGACAACTAGCACAAGGACACTCAATCGGCAAGCTCGGGCTCCCAGAGGTCAAGGGGTGGCCTCTAGGGGAACTGTGAGCGTGCCTCCTCAGGGCACAATGTCCCCTCAACAACCTCCAGCTGCTGCTCTGCTGGGACCAATGAGTCAGCCTCCATCACACCGGTCAGCACAGCGCACCTCCTGCCTGCTTGTGCGGGGAGGCGATGGGAAGCATCAGCGGGTAGATTGACAACTGCAATCAAATGACAACAGCTCTTCTGTTGTCGCTTCAGAAGCATCAGGTCACCGGAGTCCCCTCCAAAGTGCTTCCAGGTGAACATGCAGGTACAGTGCCATCGTCTGCACTCAGAAGCTTCAAGGGCCACTGTCCTTCAGCCTCTCTTT